AATGGCATGTCCCTTGGTTGCGGGCACATCCCCAGGTGGGCGTGGGCAGGAGGCAGCTGATCGTCTCTGTAAAGAATCAATAAAATAAATAAATAAATAAAATAAAATGCAGTCCTAGCCCTGGCCGGTTTTGCATAGTCTGAAGAACATACCCCTGGGAATGAAAGAGTTTCGGGTTTGATTCTGTTCAAGGGCACGTACTTGGGTTGTAGGCTCCTCCCTGGCCCTTGTCCTGTTAGGGCATGTGCAGGAGGCACCCAATTGATGTGTTTCTCTCACATCAATGTTTCTCTCTTCCCCTCCCTCCCTTCCACTCTCTCTTTGAAAAGCAATGGAAAAATGTGTCCTTGGGTGAGAATAAAAAAGGATTAAAAAAGGAATATGTTGGCTCTTGGAAGCAAAATCCTGGGTAGAGAGTTGAGGCCCCAAGTCATCCTTGGGGGCAGGTGAGCCCCTCCCTTCTCAGAGGCAGAGTGGCCACTATTGTCAATCCTCCCACAGCCCCACGTGAGGACAGACAGATAAAGGAATCTGGGAAGGCAGCCGCCACCACTTGGAAAGTGCAATCACTATGTGGAGGGGGTGGGGCATAGGGAGGTCAAACACCACAAAGCCTTACTTCTCTCTTCCTTTTTTAAAATATGGTTTTAAAAATTGATTTTAGAGAGAGTGGAGAGTGATAGAGGGGTAGAAACATCGAGAGAGACAAACGTGGATGGGCTGCCTCCCGCTCTTAGTCTAAAAACATTCTGTTATTTCTGCTCAGTTGGTTTCTGTGAGGAGGCTGCTCAGACTGCCATGCCTGCCCCTGCCTACCATCAACCTGCCTTTGTTTCCCATGGACCCTGCCCACAACCCAGACTTGTGCCCTGAGCAGGATCCATCCTGTGACCTTGTGGTGCCTGGGTGGATGCTCAGGCCTTAGCCACACCCTGGGGCTCCTTTCTTTCTGAGTAGCATGGATTTGACTGGTGGTTCGCTCAGTTCCTGCAGATCTCTGGCTGTGTTTGAGAGCCCAACAGATGCCTGTCCTGATAGTTTTGGTTTGTTTTCTGATGTTTTTGCAGAGAAACAAGAGTTTGGAGCTGCCTACGCCAACATTTTGCTTCAGTCCCTTCTGCTCAGTGACTCCTTTTAAACAAAAAGAGAATGAGAAAGGAGAAGAGCAACTGCCCTGGAAATCTACTAACAACAGAGAAAACAGAAGGGCCAGTGCCCATCCCAGGCCAGCAGAGGCGGGAGGAGGGTCCAGGCTGAGCAGTGACTCTGGTGTTTGTAAGGAGACCCTGTGTTTTAGGAAGATGAGGTTCCTGTTCCTGGAGGACCCCAGACACACGTCCAGAAGGGGCGGCTTTGAGAGGAGTGACCTTGATGGGCAGGCAGACAGGGCAGGGTACATGGGACACAAAGGCAGGTGGAGGGTAGGCAGGGCAGACAGGGCAGTCTGAGCAGCCTAAACACAGGGACCAACCAGGCAGACATAACAGACTATTTCTGGACTCAGAGCGGGAGGCCTGGGAAATGAGGGAGGGCCTGCGACAGTAAGGCGAACGCACACAAGGGAACAGGGATGTGCAGGTCCCTTGCTGGGCAAGAACAATGAGGGGCCAATCAGGTGGGCACACGGGTAGACACAGAGCAGGCTGGTGGCACATATACACCCGAGACCACAGGCTTCAGGGGCTGCCCATTAGTGAGGCCCTCCCCGTATGGGGAGCCTGAATCTGCTTGTAATAAACGCTACACGCTTTTGCTTAAATCTTCTGGTCCTCGATTTCATTCTTGGACTTGGCAACCCCCGATCCTGGGGATAGAAAAAGCTCTGTTGGTTGTTCTGGTTATCAAGTTTGCGTCAAATAAATTCTTAAAAATATTCTCCAGGGGATGTGCTGCAGCGATGGGGAAGGCGGCAGGTGATGAGGCTTACCTCCAGGGGGCAGTCTGTTCTTGTTCACGGTCATCACCCTCTCCTTGGCTGTTACACGTGGTTGTCTTCCCCTCTCCATCTTGATTGCTCACAGACCAAAATGCCAAAAACCAACTTAAAGAAGGTACCCAACCTTTCCTTGCATTGACATCACCTCACTCTTATTGGGGGATGGTGTGCTTACTCCACCTTTCTGTATCCTGGAAAGTCATGACCCTCTAGTTATTCATTATTTCATAGTCTCTGCTTAGGTTTGAGTGGATAATAGGAAAGGGTTGTATCTTTCCCATTCTTCAGACTAACCTACTTGGCAGGGTACTTCTAGCTACCCTCCCGAAGGCCTTGGCTGTGCTGGTGCTCTCTCCCTGCCATCTGGGTTAAGCCACGTACTGAATTTGCTTGTTGGTCTACCTGTGCTCCCACCTTTTCACTGAAACACCGTACCCATACCACTGCCATCTTAGCCTATTAGGGGTTATTTTTCGGTAAGGTAAAATCTGTTAGAGTCAATCGACGGAAATCCAAGTCAGATTTTTTTAGAGGCATGGTCCTCTCCTAGGGAAACAATGACAGTAGTATTAATGGTGCCAGGAACAACATGGTGCATTATGGAATGAAATGGATTAACGAATAAAAAGCTGTGAATTGTCTCCCCCGCAAAAAACGATCCTCCACAGGCTTACAGGTTCTCATGTCAACGACTTCAAAGTGGTTCATTTATGTTGTGGATTTTATGCTGATTCAACCAGCAGGGGAACCTGCCAGAGAGTCACACGGGGACACGGCACACCTAGGGAAGCATTTTTTCTTTTCTTCTCTTTTTTTTATACACTTTCCTTGACTCCAAAGAGGAGACCAGTGGAGCGATGGGAACATCAATGATGAGAGTCATTGATTGGTTTCCTCCTCCCCCCAACCCACACCCCCATGGATCAAGACTGCAACCCGAGCATGTCTCTGACCAAGGAATCGAACTGTGACCTCCTGCTTCATAGGTTGATGCTCAACTTCCCAGTCACACCTGCTGGGCTGGAAAAAGACGGGACACTTACGTCCATGACAACCAACAGCAAACTTGTCTCATCTCCAACACCTGTGAGCTCATTTGAACTCATCCCGTCCAGGTAGCAGGTTTTTAATATTTGTGTGCACTTCCCTCTCCACATGGGGAAGAAACATGTATGAATGTATGTGGTAAATGAAAAAATGACAACATAATGAGGTAAGAAATGTCCAAACATGTAGAGAATGTTCTATCAGATTATATTGAAGCAAAAAGGATGCAAACTTTTGGGGAGCAAGACCGCAAATGCTCTGGAAAATAACTGTTTGCAGCTGCATTTGTGCATCTGAAGTTAAGGAGGGAAGGTGAGGAGTGACATGGAGGTGGGAGAGAGCAAGGCAGGGACTGGGTGCCAGGATAGTGAACAGGAGGTGCTTTCCTGAGGGTGGTCATGCTGATGTCAAAGGTGTGTTAACCCAGATGCACAGGAAAAATGGACGATCTTAACCAAGACTGAGGACACACAGGTCCAGGGTTCTTGATTCATTAGGTTGCCATCTCCTTGTTGTGTAGCCAGTTCAAGTTTTCTTCCCTCACTTTCCTCTGAAACAGCCCACATGTTTCCTAGAGCCATGAAGACACTCTGTTGAGAGGGTGCAGGGGCACAAGCCATTTGTGTGTTGGCTTTGTATCTTCCACCTTTCCTGAATTCTAGTTCTATCAGCTTCTCATACTGTGTTTAGGGTTTTCTATGTACAAGATCCTGTCATCTGCTTATAGATAAGGAGAAACATTTTAACTGGTTTCTTTCTGATTTAGACATTTGAAGTTTCCTTTTCTTGCCTAATTATTCTGAGAAGGACTTCTAGTTTTAACGAATAGAAGTAGTCACAGGGGAGCCATTGTCTTGGTCCTGATGTAGGAAGAAAAGCTTTGAAATTTTCTTTGTGAAGCATGATGTCACTCATTGGCTTTTCAAATGTGGCCTTTAGTATATTGAGGTCCATCACTTCTACACCTAATCTGCTAAGAATTCTAATTCTTAAGCGATTTTCAATTTTAAAAGCTTTATTCTGTATCTATTTATATGATAGTATGTTTTATCCTTTATTCCATGGATGACGTGTATTACAGTTAATTGTTTACATATGTTGAACCATCCTTGCATGCTAGGACAGTATCCCACTTGATGTTGGTAAATGATACTTTCAGTGTGCAGGTTAGTTTGCTAGCATATTTTTGAGGATTTTTTCCCTGTAATTTCATCAGGAATATTGACTTGTCATTTTTGTATGTTTCTACCTGATGGGGATCAACTGGACCCTGCACCTGACTCAGTGCCACACTGGTTGCAGAGATAACTGGGAACATCATGGGGATTAACCAAGACCTTGGATACACACATTTAGGGTTCTTGTTTCATTAGCTTGTCATTTCCTTGTTGTGTAGCCAGTTCAAGTTTTCTTTGATATGAGTGTAATGGTCACCTCAATAAATCTGTTTGGAATTGTTGTCTCTTTCCTTAATTCTTGGAAGAGTTCAAGAAGAGTTGATTAGAAAGTTATCAATTCCTACTTGAAATTCTGGTAGAATTCACCATTGAGTCCATTTGGTCCTTGACTTTTATTTGGTGGAAGGTTTTCACTATTACTTCAATTATATTTTTATATTTTGTATCAATCTAGCAAAGTTTGGATTAAATTTCTAATTTGAGCTCCTACTAAGTGGATTGAGAAATACAAGTGTTGATCTTCACAGGTTGTGGCTAGTGTCAAAACAATAGTTGCTTGTAGACCTCATATTTATTTCATATGGCATCAAAGAGTATGAAATATAACCTGTTTTATTATATAGAATTCCTAAAGTACAGTGTGTAATGACATGAATGGTTTTGTATCACTGCTCACGTGTGAATGCATTTCTTTTCCAGAAACGAGTGTGTGACTGTGTGACTGTGTGTGTGTGACTGTGTCCGTGTGACTCTGTGTTTCCTGGGCAAGTAGTGAGAGGACGGTATGGACGCAGTGGTCTCATGGATGCTCCTCGGCTTCCAACATGCTCCTGATGCACATCTCACCCAGCGTGAAGCTGGAAAACCTTGGCTCCAGGGGGAAAGGTGGAGGAGTAGTTCAATAATGCACATCCCAGCCTCAGGGTCACCTGTCCCCGCTGTGGGGTTAGCACTGCTTCCTGATGGAAAGCAGGGCCCGTTCTGTGGGTGGATGTGGGGGCTCCCTGTGTTTGGCTCACTGAGCTGACAGCTCTTCTGGGGATCAATATGGATCCAGAGAGGATGGGTGAGGTCCACCAGCCCTGAGTGAGCTCAGGCCTTTCAGCAGAGGGAGGGCCCTGTGATCTCCCTGGAACCAGGAGGGGGAGGGCACACGGAGAATCAGACACTGAGGAGCTGTGACCCTTGAGGGAGGGAGGCAGAGGTGTGCACACAACCCAATCCCAGCATCCAACCCTTGGAATTCACACTCATCAGCGAAATGTTGAAATGACAGTGAAAAAAGCCACTTTTAGAATTTGTGAAGGAGCCTTCAAGAAGGAGAGTCCCTACTCCCTGCCGACATGTCACCTGCAAACACAATGCCCCTTCTTCACTGTTGTCTGTAGAGAGGATATGAGAGGGAAGAGCCATCCCTGGAGGCAGCTGAGAGCTTGAGAGGAAATTCCTGTGCCCAACAGGAAGGTCCTTCCCACCCCATCTCCCTCTGCCCCTGCTCCTGGGGCTGCTCTCTGTGTTGTGGGTCCTGAGCGCACCCTGGTGTCCTGAGCGCCCCCTGCAGCCCAGCCCTGCTGTCTCCCTCAGGGAGGTTAGTGTCTGGGGTCACACTGACTTCCCCTCACTGTGTCTCTTGCACAGTAATACATGGCCGTGTCCTTGGTGGTTACAGAGCTCAGCTGCAGGGAGAACTGGTTCCCTGCCATGTAAAAAGTGATGGAGATGCGGCCCTGGAAGGCTGGGTTGTAGCTTGTGCTCCCTGACCAGTACCCCATCCACTGCAATGCTTTCCCAGGGTGTTTGTGGATCCAGCTCCTGGTGTAATTGCTGGCGAGTGAGCCTCTGGACACAGTGCAGGTGAGGGAGAGGGTCTGTGAGGGAGTAGTCCCTGAACCCCCGCTAGTGAATTTTATTTGGAA